AAATGCTTACAAGGAAATGAGGTGCCTTGAAGCACCTGAGCCAAACAAACAGACGTTTGCTGTGCTCAAAAACATGGACAAAATCTTGAAGGTCGAAGACCAACACCATCCGGGGTCCTCTGATGTTCCACACAAGCAAAAGCGCTGAAAAGCAGATGGTTCAAATAGCACTTATATTGCTGAGGGATTGTTTTTCTTGCCTCCCACATCGTCCTGTGCCTCCACTATAATGGGCAACAGAACTGCCCCCTCTGGGCCCAACTTGGAGCTCCAACAAGATCAACTTGCACAAGCCCAAGTGTTACAAGTTTCCGCGGAAGGTGCGTTTTGTGGTAGCAGCTCTGAGCCAAAAGTCACCTTTGTTGTACTGCATTTTCTGAACTTTTGTGTTTGTGTATGTAGGTTTGGACAGCCAACTCACGTTGAGTGAGTTTTGGGAAAAGTCTCTCAGAACGGGCCACCAGAAGCGTTGTCTGGTGCTAAAGGTTTTCTGAAGCACCTAGCTGAAAAAAGACCACGCCTCCGGCAGGCGCACCATCGCGATGGCACCTTAGTTGAAGAAACGGAGAAAAAGGCAGTTGAGAAACGCCTAGAGTACCATGTAACCAGTGTCTTTGCAAGGCTGCAGATTTGGCTCCTTGGTGGCTGTTGCAAGAGCAATTGCCTGCAAACACTGGACACAACACGTTTAATTGTGGAGGCACTGAACCACCAAGCAGAAACCTTTGCAACCTACAGAACTGAAATTAGCAGGGCTGCAAAGGAGCGCTTGGTTGTGTACCTTGAAGGCAGTTCACACATGGTCCACCGCGTTCAGGAAAAGGTGGTGTGCGCCAAGGCCTTCGGTCTTTTCTCGTGGTGTCACTGCGGCCACTGTGTACATGACACACAAAGTTGTTAAGGAACAAGACTTTGTGGACTCCCACCCTCATGCTCCCCAGGGAGTCTTGCGGCCTACAGGAGCAAGAGAAGAGAGTGCCGCCTGAATGTTGGATTTTTTCCAACGTTTTCCCTAGCCTTTCCCGCACAAAACCACCCGAAGCCACCAAACCGGAGAGGCGAGGACGTTGCACTTCCTCCCGACCCACCTCCTAGCCACAGTCAATTTCGTTTACCAGGAATACAAAACGGTTTGGGGAAAGGCAGGGAGGACTCCCGTCTCCTTCAACACCTTCCGCCAAGCTTGGCTTTCCGCCCACTATGAGGTGTGTTGTCTAAAAGCTTGTTTGATCTGAGTGCAATTCTTGCAATTACTTTGTTGGATGATTTTTTGATGATTTGTGTCTTCCTTTACAGGTCCGTCCTTACAAGGTCCAAAACTTCAGTAAGTGTGACACTTGTGCTTACGTTGACAGCTTCTTGCAGTTAGGGTCAGGAGATGCCGAGGCAGCGGAGAGGGCCATAAAGTACAAGGAGGAGAAGGCGAAGCACCTACAATACATCATGGTTGCAAGGGATAGGATACGGGCCGGTGCTGAATTTGCAAGAAGGAATAAACACAAGGTGCTCTACATAAATACCGATGGCATGGACCAGAAGAAAACGGCGGTGCCCTCTCCCAAAGTGCGTGCAAAGGAGGACGAGGTGGGCCTTGCATTGCCCGTTTGGCTGATGGGCTCAGTTGTCTACGGGCACTTCTTCTACGGTGTGTGGTGCCTTCCCAAATGGTCTTCCTCCTCGAACACAACCCTCATGGCCATCACACTTGCCATCCAGTACGCCCAACGGATGAATGAAAGATCTGAAGAGCGGAAGGACAGCAAGACTAGAGCTGCACTAGAGCTGCAAATACAACTTAGCAACACAACGAAAGACAATAAGAATCATCATCTTCTTGGTTTCTGTGGGTTGCTTTTAGAGGAGGGATGGTTTGAAGAGGTGGAAGTCTTCTTCCTCCCAATTGGCCATACACACAATGAGGTGGACTCCCTCTTTAGCCTCATCTCCAAGGTAATAGGCACCCATGGTGCCTACAGCATTGTTGACCTAAAGGCTATTGCAAAGGAGGCTTGGAAGGACTCGCACAACTTCGTTGGGACGGACGTCAGGGTGAACGTAGAAATGGTTTCTTCCATGGACTTCAGGAAAATGCTGCCCAATGCAGACGGAATGCAATACGCCAAAATAGGAGCGGTGCCTACACTAGGAAAAAAGGGCCAAATAACACGTGTTCAAATGTGTACAAAGTTTACGGGTTTGTGTTGTTCTTGTGCTCTTAGCGTGCAGAACGTTGACGAAATGCGTTTTGTTGGCAAAAGCGTTATTTGGCCCTTTTTTCCCTAGTGCTATGGTCAACAGTTTCTGTGGTCTTGGCAACGAGCGCCGTGCAAAGGACTCTCCCAAACCTGAAATAGCCAGAAGGTGCGTTACTTTGGTAGTTTTGTTCAAATTTGCAATTTGAAGTATCCATTTTTTCTTGGAGGTCACAGTAAATTGCTTTGCGCTTGTACGCGCTACCATTACTTTTGGTTCATAGAACAGAATGGCGTTCCTGTTGTGCGTGCAAAAGAAGAGGATTTGGACGACTGTGTTGAGATTGGTGCTGCCGATGGCAATGGATGGCCAGTTTTTGTAGTGCAAGAGCCGCCAACTATGGAAAACCTAGATTTCGAGCCTCGAGTGGCCCTTAGAGACTTCAACAGATATGCAGAAAGAGCCGAACATTTCGTTCACAAGTGGAAAGAGCAGCTAGAGGGGGTGGGAGGTGGAGACAACAGTTTGGCTGAGAGGCTAAAAGCCGCCACGGCTTGGTGGGAAGACTTTTTGTCCACCCACCGGAATCTTTTTGGTCAGCAGCAGGATGAACAAACACTGCCAGTTGACCAGCCAAGTAGGGCTGGCATCCATAGGTGGCTACCCAAGTGTGTTAGGGGAGTGCAACACAGTGTTGATGGCGCTCCAGACCCCACTTTAAAAATGAGGTAAGCGTTCCCAAGGCAACTTTAGAGATTGTTTTACTTTAAACCTTGTGATGTGGTGCAAGCGTGTAAGGATATTTTGTTGTGGTGCAAAGGTATTCCTACCACAATCCGCGTAGGTCAACGGACACAAGGTATTTTGGACACCGCAACCCTCGTGAAAAAGGCAACTTTGCGAATCCAGACTAGCCTTTTGATGCTCCCCTTGTCAAATTGGGAAACGCCATTGCTGTGCACATGCACGACGAAGACACCAAGCAGTGGGGCAAAGCATTTGACATCGCTAAGGTCACCGGTGAGCAGCGAGCAAGAGGCCGGAGACAAAGGAGACTTGAAGTGGTGTACTTCACATCTACAACACCTGCTTGTGACTCAGAAGCACAAGACTCACAGGAGGCTCAGATATTGGGAACGTGGCGGCTGGACAAAAAGCCCATGAGGGGGGTCGTTTTGGAGGAAAACCTTCTTTGTGCTTGTTGGCTGGAAGATGCAGACGGTGGCAGGGACACTTTAATTCGTCCAGACTATATTGACCGCCTTAGGGAAGAGCTTCAACGCCACCAAAACCCACCAGTAGAATAGGTCTGAACATTTTGGGAGGAACAATTCTTGTAGTTTACGAACGTGTAAATTATGTGTGTCATTCACAGCGCTTCATCATAAGTGTTGGGAGATGCCTTGCAACCGCAAAGTGTTTTTCGGCTTTGCATTGGCATTGCCAACTTGATAAGTTGGTCGTCCAACCAAATTGGCGATTGGCATTGTGTTTCTTCCGGCTAAAGGAGCAGACAACATTTCAAGAAGCTACACATGTACTGTTGTTTGATTTGTTGTTGGACGCTCTTTGAACACCAATATTGGCAACGCCGCCAACGGGATGGCACAAAGGCTTGTTGTTGTCCAAGGTAGTCTTTGAATGTCACTATTCTTATGTTACTTATTATATTACTATTTTGATGGAGGTTGTGGCGACCATGCGGGCCCGTAAGCCATGCCATGAATGCCATTCCGGCATTTTCTGGCATTTTGGTCCCCGGGGCCCAAGAACGCACGAAGGGGGGCCGGCCACAGCATCGGTTGAGCAAAAGTTGGTTAACGGGAAGGGTGAAAATTGAGTCAACGACGGACGCATCTGGGTCGTGTGGACGGGTCACACTCGGTGGCCGGAGGCCACGAGAGGGTGGGGGGAAAGAGGATCTGGCATCCCCCGGCACCGGGCTTATGTGAGGGATGGCGAGAACGGTTCGCGGAAGGTGTTGGCCGCCCGGAGGAGGGTCTGGGCGAAAAAATGCGCCGTGGGAACCTGCGGCGCTTGACAGGGAGAGCCTGGGCTAGCCCAGGGATCGCCGGAGACTCTGGCGTGAGCCGCCGGGTCCCGCTGCTTCCAGGAAAGGCAGCGGAAAACGCCGGCGGCAGTACATGGCGCCAGTACACGGCCAGGGGCGGTGGTACATGGCGTCGGCACAGTGGTGTTTGGCGTCCTGCGCCGGGAGAGGGAGGCTGGAAGGGACTGAAGCTGCTGAGCTGTCGGGGCAAAAGGTCCATCGCATTTACAACATCAGCCGCGTCATTGCTTTTACAATTGACAACGCCAATGCTAATGTTCACATCATTCATCCACTACAAGAGTGGATTGTTTTTCCCCCTTTTCCCTTGATTCACTCCTTTCAGTACCACTGATAGACTTGTTGCTCTCACTCAACTTTCCCCCTTTTGAGCCGCTTGGTTCGTCCCCTTGGCCATCATCACTAGGGCTGTGAGTGCCTTTCTCACTAGCATCTGATGTGGTACGATGTTCTGAGAGGGTGGACCTTTCGTCCGAAAATGTGGCATCTCTGGACGGATCTTCACTGCCAATCTGATGGGCCTCTTCTGGCATTTGATCCTTGGATGGGCCAGGAATGCTTCGGGCATTCTGCATCAATCAAAATCAGCACACCGTTCATCAGCTACTCAATTAAACTTCAAGATTGAGGCATGGCTCAGAATGGACTGTTGGTGCCCTTACCAGTTTGTCAAGCAGTCCTTGTAGCTCCACCGTGCAATCTTTCTTTCCATGTAGCTCTGAGATGAGGTCCTCACCAATGGGGTAATCCTCATTCATCATTTTGACGAGCATTGCAGCTGCGGTGTGTTTCCCAAGAGCTTCGAACACTTTCGTGAAGTCGCTCAAATCTAGGCATTCAAACTCCACGTCTGGAAGACACCTTAGGTAGTGGTGGACCAGCAAAGCCCAGGCTTCCTTGCCATCCAGCGACCTCAAATTGGCCACCTTGTCCAACCTGTCGCTGAGTTTCTCGCTCAGTGTGCGGAATGTCTTTTCTTCGACCCTCTGTATATCAGATAACAAAGATCAGCTGTTGAGCTGAAAGTTGATTCAAAAAAATGCGACAGATATCTATTGTAAACAAACACAATCCCAAACCACAATCTAATTGCATGTGTGAGCTCACAATCTAGAGGTTGGTGTCTGGAGTTTTCAAGGAGAGGACTCACCAATGGCGTTGCCCCCTCAGCCATTTGCATGAGCGCCTTTGCCTCCTCACACTCCGGGTCCCTTTCCTTGTGAAGAACCTTCTGAAGAAGGTCCTCCCGTTCAAAGAAAGTCCTCAACCGCCCCACGCTGGCCGCGACCTGGTCCCCGTCCATGTCGATCCCCACAGATGAGCGGCCCTCTAGGGCGGCCGCCACCTGCGCGGTTGCGGTGCCGTTACAGAGGGAGAGCACTATGCCATCTTGGGGGGCCAGCGTACGAATGAGCACCCGTGACTCTTCCACCCCTTTTTGCGTTTTGTTCAAAGGGGTGTTTTTCTTGGACTTCACAACCCCATCTATTTCCGGCCGCAAGTATTTGCTGGCCATCCTTGGGGGTGTCGTGAAGTAAACAAATTTGCCCATCATGTTATTTTTCTCCGCCTTTGGTTGCGCCTTCCCGAACTTCCCCACAACCACAAATTGGCGGCCGCCCAGCCCCATCTGTCCTGGGTAAAGGGCCGGTGTTCTGTCACTCACAAAAATGTACACCAGTGCTCCTTTGTACTTTGATTGGCCAACCTCCTGGAATACAGTCTCCACCTCTGGCACTTTGTCCTCTGTGGTGTACACAGCCACACAAAAGCCGCTCTCTGATACATTGGCTCCCAACAAGCACGCGAGGAAAGTGCTGAATTGCTGCTTGCCCCACGCATCTGCAGGGGTGTACCAATCCCCTTTGTCTAGCCCAAAAGGAGGGTCGACAACCACGAGGGTGATGGGGCCATACGTTGGAATGGCCTCGTACACAGCCGCATTCAAAACATTGCCTAAGCCCACGGCTGCATGCACCAATGGGCATTTCAAAGCAAGATCCACTCCGGTGCCAAAACCAAAATCCAACCCCAGCCTTGCAGCAATCCACCGAGCAATAACACCATCAGGCAAGAGTTTAATTGGCGGATTTTCACAGAAAGGGTCCACTGTTCCTCAAAACCAACGTAACCCCGCCTTCGGAGATTTTCAATGGGCCTATCGAGGTCCGCTCTGCTTATCCCGGGAACCGACTCCTTCACGTCCATGAATGCTATGTCGGGGGTGGTGCCTTCTTCCTTTTTAAATGACAACAACCAATTTGTGACCTTGGAGATGACATGGTGTTCAAGTTCCTCAGCAACTTGCTCATAAGGAGGAAGAAAGAAAGCACGCCGCTCAGCCCACGCCCTTGCCACAATCATGTACGGCCGGTACAAGAGTGACTCATCAATTGGCAGAGTAGCAAAACCATCTCCAAGGCCTGCACTCATTGTGCTATGTGTGCCCACCTTCCGCAAGCAAACTGGACCAGAAATCTCTGTGAAATTGCCCCCAGAATGACGGGTGTAGGGTGACTGCTGAACTAATTCAGCACCTTTGGCAACCCGGCACAAACGGCTATGTTCCTGATTCAAGATTTGCAACTTGTAGTACAAGCCGTGGCCCTCGTCCATGGCATCTTCTTTTCTGGCGAATTGGGGAATCCAGTGTTGACCCTCCTTCCGATCTTTGACAAGATTGTTGTAGCGACTCTCGTATGTGTGGCCGGCGATTTTCTCCCGCCACCAACTCCGCCTGCCTGCCTTTCCACGAGGCATGGCTGTTCCCTTTGATCTCACCAAGGCATCGATGAATTGTGCCCTCAATTTGTCAGCGAAGGCCTTAGAAGGGCTCGCAATCATGTCGAAGGCAAAGGCAGAGATTTGGCTTCGTTTCGATTGCCACTCTGCCACCAACGCCTCCGTAGCACAGACACTATGCAACTCAAATTCGGTCAAGACGATGTAGAAGTTGTAATCATCGTGCTTGCCAAGACGAATTGCGTAGTCATTGAGGTTCTCAAACCACGTCCTTGAAGTACTGAATTCCTTCCTAGCACCCGTCGGCTTCCCTGTAACTTTCTGCATCTCATTGAAAACACTTTTCCGAATGCTCTCTGAGTTAGATATGAGACCACTAAGGCAAGCTGACATCACAGTGTCAGGGTAATTGTGAAACGAATGCCTGTAGCTGTGTCTCTTCACAGTCACTTCGCCCGACTTCCCCTTCTTTGTGGTGAACCCCCCGAGTCCCCTACTCTCCATCTTTTCAAAAACGGCCAGCCAGAGATTGTAAACTGGCTCGTCAAGGAGCGCTAAGCCCACCTCACTACTGTAGTGATGCATCGGACCCCTAGCCAATGTCTTCTTGTGTTCAGCCTCCACCTTGACTCTTGCCTTCCGGTAGTTCTCCTCCAACTGTTGACGCGACGAAGAAACGATCATGTCAGTACATTTCACAAACTAGAACACAAATTCTGGATGTACATCTAGTGGCTGCAACCACCATGGAAATGTCGCAGTAAAATTTTGATGCGAGTTTAAACAACAAACACAACCCAAGCTAACCCGCAAATTTGAAAGGAAAATTAAATGCACTTACGTTTTGTTTCCTTTGGTTGAACACAGCAGGATTCATGAAAGGCATCTCTGCCTCCAGATTCTCGAGCAAAGCTGTGTACTTCTTGTACTCTTCATGCTTTGCAGTTTGGAAGGCCTTGACAGCTGCCTTCTGCTGTTATGTTTCCGCAGGGGTTTCCAGCACTGCAATCATCCTCTTAGCAAACTCCTCCGACGAGCGCCCTGGTGAGCCTAGGTCCATCCAATGCATGCGAATGAAAGGGCAGAGGTACCGAGGGTCACTGAAGAGGTTGTAGCCTGCCGTCAGTTGGGCTTCTGCTGCACAAGCCTCATTCTCATACCTCGACAGAAACTGGAACAGCTCATCGGGGAACTGACTTCGAAAAAATATATAGCACGGGCGCACTGCTCTGACCTCTTGCACCTTTTTAGTATGCAAAAGTTGTGCGAGTGCAGCAGTGCTGTGGTTGCCTGTCAGTGTGAAAGCAAACACCTTGGCTTCCCCCTGCTCCACTGGGATGAGGCCCTCCAACAGAGGTCGGAGGTCGTACTTGGCCCATGCCACCTTTGCATTTGCTCCCCACTCCCAGGCAGCCACTGGGGCGAGGCGCTCGTTCTCCACTTCGATGCGGTCTTCAACAACAACCACGGCCGTTCCCAGATGATCGAAGTTGAAGTTCTCAATGAGCTGTGCCCGCCGATCCAACAGAAATGGCCTTGTTGTCAGCGCAGTTGGGGGCCGGTGGTTGATGGAACCGACTGGCATATTGTCGATCCTGGCAACGGCAGACCTCAGAATTTGGCAGTACCGCTCTTGGTCTTCAAGAGTGCCGCTTCCATACTGCAAGCCTACTTCAGCATTTACAAAGTCCACAAGGGACTTTCCTGCCAGCACTCCTTGCCCACAACCCTCGAATTGTTGTTCCAACGTAGGAGGTGGAACAGGGGGCAGTTTTTCAAGCATCTTCTCTTTCCCCCGGGTCTTTTTCTTCTCTGCCTTGGGCCTCTTTGTGCCCTCCCTCCCCTCCATCTTCACTTCCGGTTCTTGTTCTGTCGTGGGCTTAGTCTTGTCAGGGGCCTGCGGGGTTTCTGGCTCCTCCGCGGGCCCACCAAGTAGGCCACCGGCTTCCAGAACATCTTCCAGCTGCGGCTGGCTATCCGCCAACATTCGCGGCCCCCCAATGGTCATGTCAGGTGGTGGTTCCGGCAAGCTGACAGGCTTGGGGCCTGTTGCCAGTGACGCCATGCTGGACCCCGCGCTGGACGTCACGACGGGGTGTTCAGTCTTTTGTCTCTTCGTAGGATGCTTGTTGGGTTCAGCTTCGTCAACTTGCACATTACTCGGGGGACCGTCGCCAGGTTCCTCACCATGTGGTTGAGGAGCACTACGGACAGGCACATGTATGGGTCAGTCCCACAACAAGTCCCAAGCAAATAACAGCAGCTTTATAGCGTTCACGGAACAAGCATGTGCACAGCCACAGAATTGCCGCAGCATATCCATGCTCTTCAGTGGTTTGGGATAATTGTTAATGCTTGATCTGTTGATGGGTCCCACGCAGCACGCAAACGGGAGTGGAGAGTCCGCGTCCCAATCCACCTTGCTCTCGCCTGTCGTGGCAAGAGCCGGTGTTTCTTACAAGACAGAACTCTTATAGTACATGCCAGAACCTCATTCGTTGGTTCGAGAACCGCCAGCACAGGTGGCAGCCCCCGATGTTCATAATGCCCCCCCTTTTCCGTTGACAACTCCCCAATCCCACTGATTACTTCAACCGTAACACAATACACTCTGTAAACAACAATCCAGGCCTCGCTGTTTTGCCAGCGGCAACTCGGCGCCCGCCGTGTATCCCGACCTCCCACTCCCGCCGTCTTGTGGCATCTCTTGCTCCCAACCTTAGGGTTAGGCCTCGTCAGTTGGCAGGCCGAACCACCCGTATGTGTCTTGGCGTGTGTCGGTGGGCCCGCCAGCAGCATCCACCTGGCCTGCACCTACACGTGCCAGGGGCCAACGCGGATGCGGCCCATGAACCAGCACCCAATGGAAGAGGTGTCCTGACGCGGGAGAAGGGGTCCCCTTGCGACGGACGGGTGGCGGAGGGCAAAGGTCAGGGTTAGCCGTCGGCTGATCCCTGGCGTTTGGCCAGCCCAGTCACACTTCAGCCACGGGCACTGTCGCAAGAAAGAACAACAGGGCCACTGTTGCAAAAATGAACAGTCCCAGCCACTGTCGCAAGAAAAGAGTAGTTTGGCACTGTCGCAAAAATGAACAGCCCACTGTCGCAGAAAAATGTTCGCAAGAGGGCGCGCGGGAAATGACATTTTTGGGCCGGAGGAGGGGGAATGATTACGGGTGGGCAGGTGGCAGGGCGAGGGATGCTGCTGGACGGCAAGGGCGGGAGAGGCGGGGCCGGAGTCCGGGGGAGGGGCGCTGGACTTCTGTGAGGGGCGGCTGGAGGTGGTCCGAGCCAGGTGAGAGGGCCGCTGTTGGGGCACGCAGGCGTCCGGGGTGCCGCGGGGGGGGGGGGGAACGGATGGGCGGCCGAGGATGCAGGGCGCCCGTCGATCGGCAGAGGGCGATGGCCGCGCTGCGCACGTGTGTGCGCTGGTTTGGAAGGCGGGCGCGGCGTGTGGGAGCTAGGTGAGTGATCGCGGCGCAGGCAACCGGCAGATTGGGCGTGGCAGGGGCAGGGGCGGGTGGCCGTGAGTCTTTCGGCTCGTTTACGCTGGACGGTGAGCATGGGATGGAGGGGCGCAGCCCTGCCCAGTGTGCTTGCTTTTCCACTGCTGTGTACCACTGTCTGTATCTTTACCATCGGTGGAATACCGGATGGTTGGTTGGTGCGTGTTGACTTTTCAATTTGAAGAAAACGAATGCTTGAAGGAGCATCTGCATCTGGGCGTGGATGCATTTGTTGAAAGTGCTATCTGGTCCCTTAGCACCTGTGAGAGGTGGTGGCGGGCACACATCTCGACTTCGTGAGACGGGTATGTGCAAGTGTTGAGTGTGTGCTTGGATCTTGGAGGTAAATGCTTTGTGCAATTGCCTTCGGGTGTGTGTGCAGTTGCCAGATGGTGTGCAGTGGGAATGCGCATGCCCACGGGCTGCGAAATGGACGGGATTTGAGTGTTTGCCAAATGTTGTGGCCTGAGATGAAGTATGTCCATTGCATGTGGTGGATGGGCTGCAAGTGCAGATCTCAGATGGGCTGGCTGGGGTGGCAGCGATGAGAAGTGCTTGTGTGCAGAGGGGATGGACAGTGGAGAGCAAGGAGGGCGGCGGCCCGCTGGACATTGGCTGCTGGGTAGGGGCGATGTGTGGTGTGATGGCAGAGGACTGTCATGCTTGCCGCTGTTTGTAGGGTGTTCCTGTTGGTTGTTGGCAATCGCGGTGAGTGGCAGTTGACGATGTGCTGTAGTTTTCCCAACTGGCTTGCGCTAATGGGTGGATCCACGACGATCGCAGAATGGCGATGCCATCGCACTGCAGTTGATCTGCAATATGACCGCCTTAAATCCATGCTGTTCCAATGCTGCATCCTGCGGTGTGTGGCTTGGCAAGAGTGGCACATGCTGTATGCATAAAATGACATGTGGGGTTATAACAGAGCACCACAGTCTTCCAACAGCCCTTGGAGCCAGTGTGACAGATGCACAGCCTGACCATCATGGGCAGCGCTGCCAGTTTATGCACAGTGCCACACAGTACAGAACAGCAGTCACATGCAAATTGAACTGCATGTCGAGACTCCGTTGCCTGCACCGACATGTCCGTAGTGTTGTCCATCGCATCAGCCTGCAGCAGCACAACAATGCATCAGTTGATGCCCTTGCAGTTTGGCATGCGATGAGCACAGGGCAGGGTCGGCAGCCCATTGTATGAATGCCTGGCAATCGTGCAGGTGCAGATATGCTGACATTCAGAGGGAGGTGTGAGGGATCAGTGGCAGGAATAGAAATTGCCCTGCATGATTTTCCACCATGGGGACATGAAGCATGGCAGGGGTTTGTGTTGGAGTGCGATAGGAAAGATATGGAATATGAAGGGCATGTGTGGGATGGCATGTATCGGAGGTGGTGGGTGGACTGTTGTGATTGTCTAATCGCACTCATTGTCCGATGCATGCGATTTGAGTACTAGTTGTGCAGCATCGTCCAGGTTGGATGGCTGGGCAGTGGCATGGCTGTGAAGTATTGTATTCTGTTTTGCATTTTGAATGTGGCATATTCCTTGACACGGAAGCAGTAGATGTGGAACGTGTGCAGAAGGGTCCAGAATGCTGGCTGACCACAAAGCAGAAAGCTGGCATTGTCTGAGCAGCATAGAATATTGGATGGTGAGCAGCATGGTGTCAGGTGCCTCAAGTGTGTTGCAAGGGAAATGGGTGGGTGGTTTCTGGTGGGGTGCTTTGCATGCGTAACTTTTGCAAGCTCGCTGATCTCCTGCCAAACAGCGCATGTAAATCAGCATCGGCGATGGTGGCATGCCACTCGCCTGCGCGCAATAGCTGGCGTCAGCAGCTGCTGTGTTGCTGTCACCGCGCTTGGCTGGCAGGCCTGCAGGATTGGGCAATGCAGCACACAGGATGCCAGGTTGGCCTGGTGCTGGTGCCTGGTGCTGTGTGGTTGTCCTGCAACAGTGTGCAGGGCATGCGATGAGGGCAGTGTAAATGCAGAAATGCAGCAAGATTGGATCTAGCTTGATAGAAGTAGATGGATGGATTTGTGGATCCATGTGTGGACTTGTACAAGTTGTAAAATACGTGATGTGGAATGTGAGCAGTACCATAGCAGAACAACAAGTGGACGGGGTGATGGATGGCAGATATACGTGGCACATGTGCAAAGCACATACCGTAGGTGCTGGATGGCATGCCACGATGGTCAGAGTGCGGGTTGACAACAGATGCGTGCTATTTCAGTAGTACTGTAAAGTACGGTTGTCTGTTTTGCACATTGAAAATGCTGTGCTTTGTGACACAAGAGTAGCAAATATGGAAGAAAGACAGGAAGCTATTAATGCTAGTTGACCCCAAGGAAGAAATGGGGGTTGTGTAGGCTGTATGGAAGGTTGGACAGTGAGTGGCATAGAGTGAACTTCAGAGCGTGAAGTGGCCACACATTGTTGAGTGGAGAATGGCGGGCATGCTGTGTGTGCGTACCTTTTGGGAGATTGCTATTTTGCCAGTGAGCAGTGGATGCAATCAGCAGCGGAGATGGCGGCACGGAGCTTGCTTGCAACCGCCTGTGTTGGCAGCCGCCATGGTGGTGCTGCTGTCCTTGGCTGGCAGACTTGTAGAATTGAGCAGCAGGCTGAAGTGTGTGGTGGTGGTTGGCACCATGGCAGTGTCCTGCAGCATCGCACAAGGGGTGCGATGAGTGTGGGAAGTGCAGCATGATATGATGCAAGTTAACAGTAGATGGAAGCATACGTGCTTGATTGCTGGGACTTGAAGGCTGGTATGTGTGACCCAGGCTTGGTTTTTCCGTTTACGTTTACGTTTTTACTTTTACGTTTTTACACGTAAAAACGTAAATTTGCAAAGGGCCTATTTTTACGGCTCTCTGGGATGCCCAGATTACACGATGAATGTTGTGTACAATGATCAGTCCTCTGCCATAAGCAGCACCCACAACACAGTGTCCACTTCGCCCTTGGCAAGGGCGATGATGGTGTTTTACAAAAACTCGTTTTCTGTCCCTTGTACTGTCCTTATGTACACCGGGCAGTTTTTACGTTGTATTTGCGTATTTTTACGTGTAAAAACGTAAAAACTGTTTTTACGCGTAAAAACGTAACTACGATCAGTTTTCACGGCGTAAAAAACAAGCCTGGTGTGACCAGTGAGCAGCAATTGAAATTGTTCCATCAACTTCTGGTATGGGGAAAGAAAGCATAGGAAAAGTCTGTGTGGTGGAGCATGGACAGACAGTGCTGCGGAGGAAGGCCATGCATGTGCATGGTCGCGCACTTGCCCGGAATCGTGCTTGTGGCGGTTTGTTTTCATGGGCATTGCCTGTGCACACCTCGCCATCTGCCTTCGTTGCTTACAAGTGTGCACCTGTTGGGGGCATGGAGGAAGCGCAGGTTGATGGAGAAATGCAGCATGCGGCGGTGCTCCATCCGTGTTGTGGAAAGTCTCTTTGCCACATCGGTAGTACCTGAGGAGCGTCTTGTAATTGGCATATAAGCTTGCCACAAAGGTCGTTGTTTGCATGCAACCAGGTGATGGCGTTCTTTATTGTGGTTTGTATGGTGGAGAGATTGTAATCATGTTGCTGGCGGGATGTGTGGTAGCTAAACATCCTGCAGTAGTGGCGGCTGGTCTTGTGGTCGACGTCGACCATGTCCGGAATGTGGTGCCAGAGGTGATGGTAGGGGTCGTGCATGCTGAACGTGTTGGATAACAGTGAGCAGAATGAGATGGTGCACTTTTGGGGCGGGGTGTCCAGCTTGGCGAGGGCCTCTGGCATGTCACACTTGCCGCCATCGCTCATGCCATAGGAAGGGCATTCGGGCTGTCCGATCCAGCAGCAGCAGCAGCACAGCCTTTTGGTTCAGTCGCCGCTGTCACAGGGGATGCGGGGCAGGGGTGTGCTGAATTTCTTGGGGAGGGTGTGATTGCCATCGTCAAATGGAACCAGGAACTTCTGTGGGCCATGTGGCTCAGCTGGGGCGGCGCTGCTGCGCTGCTGCGAGGTATGTGGATTTGATCGCTGTTGTTCATTGCTTGCATTGCCTGGGTGCTGCATGGCAGCATTCGTTTCTGGCACAATGGACTTCTGCTTGCACCCCCGCCTTTGCAGCACCCACCACGTTTGGTTGGCTTCTTATTCAACTGCATTTAGAACAGATGCACAACTATCTGAGGTGCGTTGGGTGACTGTTGCAGTGTTCAAAAGGCAAGATTGCAACAGATTGTGGATCGATGCTGTGTGGTGGGAACGGGTGGTCATCAAGGTGCCAGGTAACTTCTGCATTGCAGCCTTGGGTGATGCTTGAGCAGGGCGGCTGCTGGCAGTGCGGCAGTCAGGGGGCCAGTGGCAGCACGGCAGCCGATGATACGGTGCGGCTGTACTGTGGCTGCAAAGCGCGGTGCTGGTGGGCAAGTGACTTGCGCGGATGTGCGTACGTGGCAGCAGGTGTGTGATGCAGGTGGGTAGGAAATGGATGTGCCAGTGCAGGGTGCGATGATGGGTGTTGGGGGTGCCTGTTGTGTTCGCTATGGAGATGATGCTGTGTGCAGGAGGTAGAGGCTGATGATTGTGCGGTGCAGCATAGGGCAGCAGTGGCTGCCACCAGGCGATGGGCAAGATGGGGCAGACGTTGGGGTTGCAGAGGGAGTGGGAGAGGCAGGCTGGTGGCATTGCTGCTCTGTGGAATGGATGGAGACCATGGAAGAAGACTGCATGGTGAGCAGGTGGGAATTGCCAGGGCGCATTGTGCCAAAAAAAATTGGAGTGGGGATGGAGAGGTCCAGAATCCAGCATGACAGTGTCAGGGCTGTGCAGGTGACACGGCATGGAAGGAGTGCAGTCTGGGGATGCAGGCATGGAGCTGCAGCAAGTGGTGGTGTGGAGTAAACAGCCGGCAATGCGATCACTGTTTGGCAGGCCACGATGGTGTGATTGGATGTTGTGCAGCTGAGCAGTGCCTATGGGAGCTTGCTGCCTGGACAGGTGTTTGCTGCCGAAAAAAGACGGGCAGGGTTGTGAGCAGACGGGAGGTGTGATGCTGAGTGCGGCAAGTGGCATGTTCAGAAAGCGATCTGGTGATGTAGGTAGTGCAGGATGGCATAGTCATGCGGCAAGTGTTGTGGATGCTGTTGGGCTGGAATGGTGATTGGCAAGTGTGTGCGTGTGTGCAGGAGCAAGCGAGCTGGGAGATGGCCGTGGGTTGTGGGTGAGGCGAAGGTGCCATCACAGGTGGACTGCTGGATCAATGTTGTTCAAGAACGTGGTCAGGTTCCAGTGTGGCAGTGGTGGGTGGAGTGGCGATGGATGTGTTGAGGGCATGGCATGGTGGTGGCGTGAGTGTGGATGCATGCACTAGTGGATGGGTGCACTGTGTGGCTGGTGCAGCCTTGCAACAGGGAGCACAAGAGTACAGAGACTGGGTGGCATTGGCACTGGAAGCTGTCAGCAAATCGGTGCTTCCATGGTCTTTCTGCAACCAGCCGTGCATGATGGCTGCTGTCCTGGTGGTTCAGATGTGTTGGCTGCAGGAAGCAGGATGCTTGTGGCTGTGGACAGCGGCGCAATGTGATGGCGAGTGGTGGCATGAAGGGTGCGCTAAATGGTAGGCATGTGATTGATGCAGGCTTGTGGAGCGTGGTGCAGCAAGGCACAGATGGGCGCTGCAAGGCTCAGAGGGGCTGCGAGGCGTGGAGTGGCGCTGCAAGGTGCAGAGGGGTGCTGCGAGGCGCAGAGGGGCGCTGTGAGGTGCAGAGTAGCGGAGGAAGGTGCAACAATGGCAGTAGAAGAATGCATGGCAGGGCCAAGTGGCAAAGACCTTGTCCCTGCAGAACATGCACAAAGAGCTGGAACAGCAACTTGTGGCATTGTTTCCTGATGTAGGGATGAGCAGGCAGTGATGCTGAGTTGCAATGCCGTCTGTATGAACTTGTAAAGGGACTGCAAATTTTGCTGCAGAATTGGTGTGGATGCTTTGCAAACTACAGCGCTTTGATTTCGCATGATGGCAGGTAACAACTCCAACTCAGGCTGACATGGCCGTGATACTCAGAAATGCTGGGACTCAGTGGGTTGGTGGGCGATCTCAAGAGCCAACACAGGATAAGGTCGGTTTCTGCTTGAAATTGTGCACATCAACATAGAACATGCGTGGCAAGCATTGTGGCTTCAGGCCATACCTAGGCCTGAGAGAAGGGTAGACTGCGGAACCCAGGTTCAAGCCAGTCAATCAACAATCGCGACTCTGCTTTTGGTGACTGAAGATGCCCAGCTGCAGGTGAGTTTGAAACCACCCGATCAACGCAGAAGATGGCCAGCTGGAGGGCGCAATTCCGGAATTCGCGATTTCAGAAGCCAACGCAGGAGAAGGTCGCCGCTTTGTGCTTTAAGTTGCGCGGTAACAACACAATATGGGTGGCCAGCGTTGTGGTGCAGGCCAGATCTTCCCTGAGAGAAAGAGAGGCCTCCGAAACCACTTTCAAATCAACTGATCGATATCCAGATCGCACTTTTAATCATCACAGAAGATGTGCATCTGCATGTCGCAATTGCGAAATTCGGCGATCTCAAAAGGCAACGCAGGAGAAGCTGGCTATCTGCTTGAAGTTGCAAAGCGACAAGAGAATACGGACGGTGAGGGTTGTGTTGCATGCCAAAGCAATGCCCCGAGAGAAGGGGAGACAGCGGAACCCAGTTTCACATCACTGATCAACAGCCAGGACTGCGCTTCAGACCCGGCTCCGAGAGAAGGGGAGACGTCGGAACCCACTTTCCAACCATCCCATCGACAATCGCGACAGCACTTTTGTTGGCCAGAGAAAGTGGCCGCTGCAGGTTGCAACTCCAGAATTCAGCGATCCCAGAAGCCAAAGGAGGGCAAGGTGGCTTTGTGCCTGAAGTTGTGCACGAACAACAGAACATTCGTGGCGAGCATTGTGGCGCAGCCGCCTGGTCTGGGCGCCCAGACCTATGCCCCGAGAGAAGGGGAGACAGCGGAACCCACTTTGAACCCAGACAAGCGACAGTCCTGACGGCGATTTAATCGTCACAGAAGATGCCCAGCTGCAACTCGCAACTCCGATATTCGGCGATCTCAAAAAGGAATGCAGGGCAAGATCCCCTGAACTGGTTGAGCCAGCAGAGCATGCGCGGTATTCCTCGGAGCGTACCTTGCCAGCGCCGTAGAATCCTCGGGAGGCGGTTTTTTGGGTAACGGCTGAACCCCTGCAGCCTGCAGAGCATCGCAAGAATAGGTTTTGCAGCAGAACTTAGTAGGGGACTAAGGGAGCGCCTTGGTGGGCAGATACGAGGACGGGATACTACGATACTACGAGGATGGGATCGATCGTCACAGGCACTCCTGTGGCACGTGCACACGGACAACATTCAAATCGATTGAGCCTGTCGAATTAAGGTGCTTCTGTAGGGGGTGCTAAGGGAGCAGCCTTGGTACCTTGGGCAGATACGAGGACATGGCGTAGTGCTCGCACTACGAGGATGGGATCGATCGTCACAGGCACTCCTGTGGCACGTGCACACGGACAACATTCAAATCGATTGAGCCTGTCGAATTAAGGTGGATCTGGTGGTGCGTACGCAGTGGGTCACACCTCACCTGCGCTTGCTCATGGCGTAGTGCGTCGCACAAGGCCACGCCATCGAGCGCAGTCGTTCCTCGGTCAATGTTGTCTGCCTTCAGTTTTGGGGTCGGGCTTAGGCAGTTTTTCATTCATCGGCGGCCAATCACATTCTCGCGCTCCATTTGCGACCTCTGCTCGCTCGGCTCGCGCGCGGGTTCGTGCTTTTCTGCGGATGCTGGCAAGCCTCGCTCGGTGCCCAGGACGAGAGACGCCAGTCGCCACAACAAAAGTTTGCCTTTCTCCCATGCGTATGGCACCAGCATAGCGGAGCGCGGTGGGGCATGGCGGCAAAGTACTTTGAAAATTCCGTGCCAGGGCGGCTGTCGACGCGACCGGAGGGCTGCAGCAGTCGCTGCTTAGCAGAGCTTTGCAGTAGTAGTACACGCATGTTCGACTTGCCAGGCCAAGGTTTTTAGTACCGCCGGGTTAATAACACAACTGGGAACAAACCGTGTAGTGACGATTGAATGAGGGCACATGATTTTTACACGTTTTGACACGGTTTTACACGATCTCTCTGTGGCTTGGAATAGTGTACTTTGGCTTGCATTGTACTTCCTCCGTCCAAGAATAATTGTCCTCTATGAATATGGGGCACGACTTCTCCATCGCACTTACATCAGTTTTCAATAAAATTTCGCCCAAAGTTGTGCTTGTAAGTTTGGAGCATACTATCAAAATTTCAAGTCAACTCACTAAGTATTGAGGATTTGGCAGTTCTTTGTACCAGTGGTCTTTTACCTAGTGAACCTCTGTATTTGGGGTCAAAAATGACCAAATTTTACATTTTCCCTAATGCTCAAAGGGCTCGTGTCTCATTTCCTATTTTGGAAAATTGGTAGTTAAAGGTTTTGCAACCTAATTTTTCCGTTTCTGAAACTTGTTTTCCATTTCTAGGCAGTCCTTGTAACGAATTCTGTCTTTTAAATAGAGGACAATTAAATTTGGACAGAAGAAGTACTTGTGTAAATGCTCTCTGAGGAATGCCACAACAGCGCCCTGGCCATCAGAGAGTTCACCCATGTTTTGCAACCACCTGATATTGTGCTATTTCTAAAACGATTGGAGGCTATATTGGCGGCTATACACGCATACAAGGAAAGTGCATCGAGGTTAATTAATATCAGAGGAAGTTTTTGGCTCTCAGAAGAACGACCCTGGGAGATGTTAATGAAGATATCCCTGACAGCACGCACACTTTGGAGGATTGTTGTTGTGCGAGCAAGAGAGACTTGAGGATCTGAATAAGTGCTGGATACATGCCAAGCACTAGGAGAAAAAGGGCCAAGTAACACGTGTTCAAACGTGTGCAAAGTTTACGGGTTTGTGTTATTTTCGTGCGTTTAGCATGCAGAACACTGATGAAATGCATGTACATGCATTCGCAGAAAGTGCTATTTGGTCTTTTTTTTCTATTTTAGAAATCAGTCAGAGGGAGCTGGATGCTGAGAACCATGACATGAAAGCCAGGTTCGCGCTCTCGTCGGGAATCCGGCCTGGTGCCCCTCGGGCTGCGTGTCCACCGTCATCATTCATGCGGTCTCCTGCGGGTACCAAGTCCAACTCGTTGGGAACCTCGTACTAACGCCACGCCAGCGACCCATGGACCATGAGCCCTGCCGCTGGCGTCATCCTCCCTGGTGCGCCAGTCGCAAAGAACCAGTACTGGCAATCGGCGAATCGAGGACTCGAACCTCGTGCGGGCGGATGAGCAACGGGACACTTTGTGCCCCCACTGCCCCAGCGGGCACATCAGCCCCGCCCATCGGACCGCAGTGCTACGACAAAGTCCCCGCCCCTCGCACTCCTCGGCACAAGCATGTTGATGCCGTGGACCCACGAGAAGGCGGTTTGACGGTCCGCCCTCCGCGTGTCAGCTGGAGCTCAGCTGTGGGTCAGTCGTTCGGCGCGCGACACCCGCGCGCCCGCCGGCGGGCGCCCCCTCGCGGGCATGGGCCGCCGAGGAGCAGGTGGGCGCCGTGGTGGGCAGAGCGCGAATTTCCACTTTGAGATGTTGCGTGTGGTTTGCGTCCGATGCGGCCGGTGCCTGCTGCCCCGCGGCAGCCAATGCGACCGATCGCTGGGCGCCTCGCGCAGTGGCCCCTGCGATGGGAACCGTGCAGCGGTTGGACGTAAGGCCGGGTGTGCACTGCCAGCCATTGTTTGCGGTGGGATATCGGAGAGCGGGAATTAATAAATGCCGGCGATGTGGACACCGCTTCAGAAAAGAAGGCGTTGTCGCCCCTTCCCCCGCCCTCCCGCGGGTTTAGGAGGGCGCGCGTGTTGGGCAGTGCCGCGGGTCGGAAAGAAGGGGTTGCGGAGCGAGAGGGGGAGGGTGCCTGATGGGGGGGTGGGGCTGGAGGGCACGGGGTGGTGCCGCCCGAATCAAGTGAAATTCGACATTCGGAAGTGGGCGGCGAGCTCCGCGGCGCGAGCGGGCATTGCCACGCCGTTTTCAGTTGCCTTAGAGAGGTGGGGGCAGGGACGTCGGCATCGACCGTGTTGCGGCGACGGTGCAAGACGGTGCTGAGTCCAGCTCCCAGGTCCCGGCGACGGCTAGGCGGACGCCGTGCCTCAGTGCGGTGATGGGCGTCCTCGCTGCCCGCGACCGTCGCTTGGGCCCTGGCAATCGGTTCAGCCGCCCCAAAAGCTCGGTGCGAAATCCGTCCGCTGATTACGGGCAGCCCCTGGCCAAGGGGGCGCCGGCTTGGGTTGGCCAACCGCCGTGCCCCTCCCCATTGCGGTGCGCCGTGGCTAGGCTTCCCATTCCGGTGGCCGCGGTGAGGCCCAACCGCCTGTTGTTGCGGTCGCCTCGCGGATCCCGTCTGTGGGGTGCGCAAGCGCCCAAGGTGATCGCCAGGAAAGGGGCGCTTGGGCAACCAACTGTGTCTCAAGTGCACTGGGGCCCGCCCAGGCCGGCCGAGAGGCGTCACACGTCACGTGTGGCTGTTGAGGACCGGGATGACGTCGTACACACTGCGCCGGCCGCGGAGCCCCCTTTCGGTGTACACAGGTTACCCGGATACAGCCGGGTACCCAAGTTCTGGAAACTCCAGTTGCCCGGGTCCGGATTTTTCAGCGCGGGCACCGTCCCCAGTGCGTGCGTA